TGAGTTTGTTGCACTTGCCCCGTGAATACGTTCGTACTTATAATATGGGAACTAACCGGTGGTGTATATATTTTTACAAAAAAAAATAGCTGTAGTGGCGTATTATCTTTAACGCAGAGTTTAGATCTGCCATGAAATACACCATGGTGTGCACTATAGTGCACTTATAAGTGCACTAAGGGATTTGTTTATATGCCAAAGACTGGACTATTCAATTTGTATTTTTCACTTAGGTGGGTGCATTTACCCCACTTCACCCTATATATATATACCTATATATATATATATATATATATATATATACAGGGTGTCCCAGAACTCGCGCCACAGAGAAAAAGGGAAATACCGAAATTTGAAACACATATTTATAAATTCAAATTGTCCAACGCAAAGGATAAGGGAGATAAGAATAAAAAACGATAGCCAATCCCAATAGATCACCACAGGGAATTCTTTAAATTGCTAGGATACTTAGGTTGCATTGTTGATAATAAAAAATATGTAAAATATTTGGTCCACTGAAATCCAATTCATTGTAACACTGCTGTCAATCTTTACTTCTGTCATTAATATTATATAAGATTATAAATTAAGTTATTATTGACAATGCTGTCAATCTTTACTTTTGTCATTAATATTATATTAGGTAATAAATTAAGTTATTATAGATAATGTTTTCCTTAATGATTATACCGAAATGATAACTATTTATGGGGAGCGTGGGCCCAAAAAAAGTTAAATAAAGTACAACTGGTTTGATTTTTTACTTTAAAACATTGGCGTTCTGAACATAGATAATAAATCATATAGATACGCCACTGTCACATATTTGACGCTCCTTGTTACGCACACTCGGTCCGCTATGCCGCTAGTGTACCCGTCTGACATTTATTGGTTTTAGGTTATGATTTTAATTTAGGTTATCCTGTCAAATTTTGACAGTCAAAATAGTAAAAAATAAAAGTCCTGATAGTTTATTTAAATTGTTTATTTAAAAAGCAAAAATAAATGTATTATATTTTAAATTATTCAAGGTATTTACTAAACTAAACCAATTAACAATATAATAATGTATTCAAGTGAATTTTATCTTATTAAAGAACACAAATCAGTATAAAGTAATAATATTATGTACCACATTTGTGTTAGTACCTACATCATTATTTTAATAAAATAGTTATAATTGAATAATACAATACAACCTGGTCATCATTGTGAAAAGTATGCATCATAACTTGACTGTTAGAGCAGCCCACAGCACAGCACAACACCAATGTTCAAATAATGTGGCAATATATAAAAAATAGAGTACACAGATAACGATAAATCGCAATTTTAAAAGTTTTTAAGCGTACAGAACAAACCAAATAAACACAATATGAATTTACAAAACTTTACAAAATTTATCAAACTGAAGTTTGTTGATTTCGTTACCAAGCAACCGTCAAGATTAACCGCCGCTCCTGCCACATGCAACTCGAGTGTAAACTAAAACCAAAGTCGACTAGACAAAAATGTGGATTTTGTTTGTTTAAGGCGAGTGCACAGGGCATGGTTCTGAAGTATCAATCATAGATTAATAACCTCATTTTTTGAAAGCTTTTGACAACTTAGTAAATACAGTTGGCCAAAAGATTTTTAAATGTTTTTAATACAACAATGTTCTATCGTCTCCTAGCAATTTTTAAAGCTCCTACGTTTAACCTAGGCGAGATCTCTCGGTATTGGCTGCCGCTTTTTTGCTCTCATTCGATTACACTATTACCTAGAAATTTTTTATTTTTAAATTTGGCATCTCCATTGCTATCGGCACGCCCCCTTTTTCTCTGTGGCGCGAGTTCTGGGACACCCTGTATATATATATAGGTATACTTTTTCTCTCAATATACGAATGTGGCGCAAAAATAAATATCCAAACACCGATGGCATAAAAAATCACGACATGATTTTTTATGCCATCGGTGTTTGGATATTCATTTTTGCGACACATTCGTACATTGAAAGAAAAAGTATGTTAGCAATTGAATCAACAGTTTAACATTCAATATTTTCTTGGATTTAAATTAACTATATATAGTTAATTTAAACCCAAGAAAATATTCAATGTATTTAACCACAAAAACTGTTGATTCAATATATATGTAGGTATACTTTTTCTCTCAATGTACGAATGTGGCGCAAAAATAAATATCCAAACACCGATGGCATAAAAAATCACGACATGATTTTTTATGCCATCGGTGCACCGACATGTTTGGATATTTATTTTTGCGCCACATTCGTAAATTGAAAGAAAAAGTATGTTTACAATTGAATTAACAGTTTTTGCGGTTAAATACATTTAATATTTTCTTGGATGAAAATAAACCATTAATTTAAATCCAAAAAAATATTGAATGCATTTAACCACAAAAACTGTTGATTTAATATACATTTATGCAGGTATACTTTTTCTCTCAATGTACGAATGTTACGCAAAAATAAATATCCAAACACCAATGGCATAAAAAATCACGACATGATTTTTCAATATTTTCTTGGGTTTAAATTAACTATATACAGGGTGTTTCTTTTAACTTGAGACAGCTCAATATTTCGAGAAATACGCATTTCACGGAAAAATGTCTTAAATAAAAGGTTAATGTGACTAAAGGGGACATTATTTGGTGCTACCGCTAGCCACCCCCTACCCCTCCTTAAGGGTGAAACTGGGGTAACTTTGGAAAGTCAAATGGAATGACCCGATTTTTTTCACAGAGTTTGGTAGTACATAAAAAAATAAATAACTTTTATTTAAAACTTTTTTCAATTTATCAACAGATGACGCTGTAATTCAAAATTTAAGAAAAATGAGTTTCCTTGTAAAATGTATTATTTGAAACGTTTGAAAAACAAAAATTAACATTAACAACAATAGTCGGCTATGAAAACAATTTATAACAAATGTTCGAAATGTCGTCATTCCATTTCAACATATTTTTGAATGCGGGTAATGAATTCTGGCACACAACGCGCCAACATATCGGGCGGTATCGCCGCACAGGCGTTCCTGATCCGCTCCACCATGTCCTCCCAAGTTGTAGGAATTGCAGCGTAAACTTTTTCTTTCAAGTAACCCCACTGGAAGAAGTCTGGTGGTGTAAGATCAGGTGATCGAGCAGGCCAAATTACTGGACCACGTCTACCGATCCACCGCGGTGCACCGGCCATTGAACTCCCGATCCAACACCTCTCGAGCAATTGTCGAATAATGTGCAGGACAACCATCTTGCTGGTACCACATGTTTTGGAGCCGTGCTAGTGGTACATCCTCCAAAAGGTCCGTCAGATCGTTTTCTAGAAAATTCCGGTACTTTTCGCCATTTAATGCACCGTCAATAAAGAAGGGTCCGATTAATCGTTCGCTTAAGGTACCGCACCAAACGTTTACCGACCAGGGACGCTGGTGCTCCACTTGGTGTCGAAATGGGAGGACGACATTTCGAACATTTGTTATAAATTGTTTTCAGAGCCGACTATTGTTGATTTAATGTTAATTTTTGTTTTTCAAACGTTTCAAATAATACATTTTACAAGGAAACCCCTTTTTCTTAAATTTTAAATTACAGCGCCATCTGTTGATAAATTGAAAAAAACTTTCAAATAAAAGTTATTCATTTTTTATGTACTACCAAACTCTGTGAAAAAAATCGGGTCATTCCATTTGACTTTCCAAAGTTACCCCCCGTTTCACCCTTAAGGAGGGGTAGGGGGTGGCTAGCGGTAGCACCAAATAATGTCCCCTTTGGTCACATTAACCTTTTATTTAAGACATTTTTCCGTGAAATGCGTATTTCTCGAGATATTGAGCTGTCTCAAGTTAAAAGAAACACCCTGTATAGTTAATTTAAATCCAAAAAAATATTAAATGTATTTAACCGCAAAAACTGTTGATTTAACATAATTTTTCTCTTAGTGTACGAACGTGGCGCAAAAATGATTATCCAAACACCGTTGGTATAAAAAATCACGAGATGATTTTTTGTGCCATCGGTCAATCGCAAACAGCGCGCTGGCATAAAAAATCACGACATGATTTTCATTTCTCACGCAGTGACATCCGGATGATGTCCGTATGAACAAAATTTGTGAAAATCACGACGTGACGTTCGTATGATTTTCATTTATCACGCGGTGACTTCCGTATTATATATATTATATAAAATTTTTGAATATCACGAATGTTGTCCGCGAATGTTTAAATTTGATACTAGTTGTTATTCTCAATTGAGCCATAAAAAATTATTTTGTCATCTTGTACAAATTTATTTCATAGAGAATAGCCACAAAATTGCAATTAGGAATTTCAATTAATAAAAATGGCCTAATTCTTAAGAAGCAGCTGCGATTTAAATAGAGGGTGTTCTGTTCTGAAAAACCTATACTCTATTCAAGGACGGTGTGTTTCAGACATTCCACGTTAATTATAGCGTCCGTAATAATAAAAAATTGTGAGTAACGGCTTTCGTAATTAAATTAAATACTATTGCAATAGTTAGTATTGCAACATATTTATTTAACTTTTAATAATTAAGCTTAAGCTTATAAGCATAATTATGCTTAATATTATAATTATAATTACAGTAGTTTTTACTCACAATTTTTTATTATTACGGACGCTACAAAAATTGCCGAGTAAAGTGGAATGGCTGTTTAATAAGGATATTTTTTTTTGTTTTTTATAGATCTTCCTACAGGCGTCCATTTGCGGTCTTCAAATGTCTATGTCCAAGGTTGACGGTCTAAGGATATCCATTGGGCGTCAGTGTGATATTTGGGAGAGCAATTGTAGTTTTCTGGTATTTTATAAATATCCAACATTAAAAATTATTAATTTTAATAATTTTACCTATTATAATTATTATACCTATTCTTTAACTTAAAATCTCGTTTATTTTTATTTTGTTTACTTAATTTTAATGTATTGACTTATTTACATATTTGGCACTGCTTATCTTGGGCAAGAATTAAGTCTTGTCCTTGCGATGCAAGCCCTTGGGAGTGACTTGCATGTTTTGCAAGTTAGCGTCTCCATAAAAATACAAACTATATAAATTATAAAAATATATTAAGTAAAAAAAAAATACATAAGTCTGGATATTCATTTTACAGACGGAGCAAAACAGAACCTGAACCTGTAATCAACGCCTGGCCACTGATTAGCAGATCGACAACGCGGTACTTATTTTTCAATTCAAAGGTGGTGGCTTGCTGACTCCTACGTAGGTACCAAACCATTTTTCTTGTTGTTGCCTATTGTTATTATAGTATGTTATTATTATTTATCGTATTTTTTTGTTAAGAATTATTGCTGTAGCAATAATTCTTAACAAAAACAACCCATGAGTTGTTGACAAAAATGGCCCCTCAATGTTTTGTGGTTGTATTTATATTTACTTCAAATTCAATGATCATCTATATAATATTTCAAAATGTTGGTTTTTTAGTTAATTTAGCTACCTAGGTGTATGTAAGGAACTAGCTTAGTAACCTAAAAAAAGAATATTGAATAGTAATAAACAATAATTAAGACTTTTTTTACTCTAAATTATGTGTTTTTAATACAGAATCCGCCATTTCAAATACATTATAGAATTTAGAACTTCTTTTAGCAATATCTTCAGCAAATTCTCCGCTATTATTTTTAATGTCTGTTTTAATATTTGGGTCCATTAGGAGCAACTGAACTGTATTATATGACACTCCATATGAAGCTGCTATATGAAGTGGGGTTTGTCCTAAATAATAAAACAGATTTTAACACTTTCATAAAGTAAAAAAAATACTTACTTACCCCCTTCTGATTGAGCATTAACATCAGCTCCATGTTGTATTAAAATTGCAGCACATTCAGTATTATTCCATTTACAACAAGAATGAAGTGGTTCCCAAAGCATAGTAGTTTTGGCAGAAATATTTGCCCCATTTTCAATTAAAAATTTTACAACCTCTATATGGTTTCCATAACATGCTCTGTGTAGTGCTGTGTATTTATCTTGATCAATTGCATGGATAAGTGAGAAATTTTTGTTAAACAACTCTTTAACCTTGATTAAATCTCCATTTTCAGCTGCTTCTAGCATATCCTTTTCGTCACTGACTGCAATTAGTAATACAATTTACAATAATTTTGATGATATGATATACCTTTAGGATTTCTATCTAAATCAATGTCATTTTCTTCATCTTCCCAGCCACTTAACATAAACCGCTGATTATCCATCATTGACCAAGAAATCGTACAGGTTATAAACAAATAAAAAGTAGGGTTAGATTCTTGTTTAGAAAGTTGGGTTTACAATACTCCAAACATGTAAGGTCTTAAGTCGGGTTTATACAACAATTGATAATTTAGTAGACAATTTCATAACTCAATTCTTAATTAAATGAATTATTTAATACATAATACATAACTTTAAAATCTGGTTTATACAGTTCGTTAAACGCTGTGGCTCCCGTCCCGAGACGGGACTTAAGTTCAGTCCCGATTGACGTCATAATTTGTTGTGTTATAATAAAATAATAATAATAATAAATTGTACCTGTATACATGTTAAGGGCACGTTAGTTACGTCATAAAACCAAACCAACCCAAACTCAACAACACAACCCAACCGACCCCGCCCCATTGGCCCCCCACGATAAAAATAAAACACTTTTTAACAAAGAAATAACAAATTTATAAAATAAAAAAAATTAAAAAAGTTTGACAACTTCTAGTAGAATCGAACCCGGTATACCTCTCGCATGCCAAGCGACCGCCCTACTATCTAAGCCATCCATAGATGGCTTAGATAGTAGGGCTGCAGCTTGACATCAATTATAAAAGCTCGGGGAATAAAAACGGATTTACAGTGTGTGACGTCTGTCGGGATCGAAGTTAAGTCCCGCCTCGGGACGGGAGCCACATCGTTCATTAAATTAATACAGGCCCGTAGCCAGAAATTTGGTTTAAGGGGGGCCCAAAACGTAGTAATAATTTTTTGGGTGGTAGGGGGGCGGAAATGGTTGATGGATAAATACCAGTAAAGCGTGAAGTTGTCATAAAAAATATGGCTTGTAATCGATAGACATATTTTTAAAACATGATTCACATATTTAGGAAAATTTTAGGATTCACGGAATTTCGGGGGGGGGGGCCGGGCCCGTCGGGCCCTACGGCTGGCTACGGGCCTGAATTAATAATTTAATATATATTTTATTTTTTCAAATGACAATATTGATAATTAAAAATGAGAAATAACACAAAATCCTTCATTAAAAGTTATGTTTTGTAGGAACTTTGTAGTATTTTTTAAGGCACAAACACAAAACAGAATAATTATTAATTAAAACCTTAAAAAATGGAGAGAAAAATTGTATTGTCGGCACATGCGCTTTCAATCTTATTTATAATTCATAATTTATGGCGGGTTTATACAATTTTATATCATTAATTTATTTCATAATAATTATGAATTCTTCACAATTTAGTGCATAAGCATACAAGTTCTTAAACTCTTAAATCGTACGATCTGTTATGAAACAGTTTATACAACGATTTAATACGTAACACAATTTAGTGTTTATTGAATAACCTTGAAAGTTCGGAAAATTTAACTTTTATGAAATAAAAAAACTCTCAGTAAAGCCTGATTTATAGATTGCCTTCCTTCCTTCCTCCCGTAAAAGATGAGTGTACTCCACTTTAGTTAGTTCAGAGCTTCCGAAATAACTTGAACTTGAAATGGATACATTTTTAAAGTTTAATTCTAATAAATCGAACAAACAGATTGAGTGTACTCTACTTTAGTGAGGATTTCGAATAAAACTAACAAACCAAAGAAACCTTTTAATAATTATGGCCATTGTAAACACGTCTTTTGAATATGTCAAAAACATATGATATTTATCAACAACGAATTATTAAGCTTATTTGTATACAAGAATGTCTAAAAGAATTATGAACATAAAGGTAAAATGTTAATTGTATCTATAATATAAAGTAAAGCCATGTTTTAGGAAGTTCCACATGGAGGAGGATTGTGTATAAGAAGTTTAAAAAAATCAATACCTGAAGTAAACATCCCAAAAACGAAAAATTTTGATTTTGCCAATGCTATAGAGTCAGTTTATCCTCTTTTAGATATAATTTTAAGTTTTCTTGATTATAAAGATTTAATAAATGCATCTCAAGTTAATAAAGCTTGGAAAGAAGTAGCAGATAAAATTTTATTAAAACGATGTGACCCCAGTTGGTTTACTTGTTACAAAATAAAAGGAAGTAATATTTTAAAATACAGTGATAATCTAAATAAAAATAATATTGGTATTGGGATTATCCTCTATAACAGTAGAAGAATAAAATTAACCGACTATATTTGTATTCATCGAGAAATTTCAATCATATCTTTAAAACCAGGTCTAGATATATTTTATTTGTAAAATAGTGATTTACATTATTATATTTTAGTTGCAGAATATATAACGGATGAACTTATACCTCCAAACATAGAGTATTGCCTAATATCTTGTCCAAGAGTTGTTTCTCAGTTCCCAATAAAAGAAAAAGCACTGCTTACTTCAACTTTTGATGGACTAATTTTACCCAAAATCCCAAATGTACAAACAACTATGTTTCATTGTAACCCAGTTAAAAAATTAGATATTAAAAATACAATTGATAATTTTATAAAACCAAATCATGAAGTAAAATGTATTTTATTGTTTTGTAAAAATGATTTAAGGAAATCCATATATAATTTGTTGGATGCTCTTGTACCTGGGTAAAAATGATTCATTTTTAAAATTATTTTTCCTAACTTAATTATTTTAAGCCTTAATCCTTTAGCAGCAGCAATTGGAGGAGGAATAATTAGAGGAACAAAAACGTTTCAAAATCAAAAAAAAGTATTTTCGCTAAATGATGTATTTTGTATAGCATTTACAAAGGAAAAGGAAGGAAAATGTGATTTCAGTGCATTTTCAGTTGTTATAAGTGGAGATGATCTTTCAAAAGAAGAATTTGAAGCAGAACTGATTAAAGTAAGTACATTCAACCTACTAAATACCTGCATTTTTAAATCTTATTTAATTCCAGTTTAGGAAAAATACTGAGTTAAGGTCACACAGTGCAGCATTCAGGATTTGCTGCTCTGCAAAAGTTGATACGGATGAGGAACTTGATTTGTTTGAGAAAGTTTTTCCAAATGTTCCTCTTTTAGGAATGGATGCTGATGGTGAAATAGGCTGGAACTGTTACAACAATGTGGATCCAGACAGTTGGACCAGACCCAACCAATCAGGTAAGGCAAAATGTCTCAAGGACTTTTATAAGAACAATATATTTTTTTAATTCAACAAAATTTTGTTTTTAATATGTTTAGGCATTGTAATATTTCACTGCTTTTATTTTTGACATTGCAACTTTCTTTTGTTGTATTAATTTCTCAGCATACAGTTAAGTAAAGACTTTAATTATGAATTTTATAATATAAAATTAATAATTTGAATAATTTTTAGGATCTAAAAGAATGAAGAAAAATTACCCTGTGGTGCAGCACCAATGGTCCACTGTGTTAGTGTTGTTAACATGGGGAAACCTTGTAACCAAATGAACCAAATTTTTATAAGAACAGTTTTATTTATTTTGAGTTAATTTAAACGTTTGTAAATAATTTTAATTTTATTAATAAAGGAAACAAAATTTATTTTGCAAATGACTTTTTTTAATGTTGGGTTTATTCATTTAAATATTATTTACAGATTAATTAACAAAAAATATCTACTCTTTAAACTCTATCATTGGAGTAACAGATGTTTTTATCCTTTTTGTTTAGCAACCATGCAAATTCTTTTTTTATCAACACACTCTTGGAAATCCTTAACAACTTGGGAACAATTCATTGGCTCTTTATCATTTTCCTTATAACATTTTAGTACAGCATTCTTAGCATCCAAACAGGGCAGTTCAGATATTATTTTCCTGGCTGTTTGGTTTCCATCCAGTTCCTTTAGCTTAAAAGAATATTTATGTATTATAATGAAGAAAAACTAATAAAAAAATATAATATAACAAAATCTACCTTTTCCTCCATAAAATGGACGTTCACATAACCTTAAATTATAAGATCAATAATCATTCTATCTATAATTTTGTTGCCAACAAAGAGAAAAAATAGTTTGAAATGCTATTAAGATTTTAATCAAAATGAAAGCTAACTTACTGCAGAAAAAAACAACGGAAAAAATCCGAGCGTTTAAAACAAGCATTTTTAACGAAAAAATTGAATTGAAATTTGCAGAATCGGATAATACAAGAATAAATGCAAAAGTCAATTATTTAAAAATTTGGAAAATTTAAAAGATTGTCCAATTTGTACTCCCTTTTTTCCGGGAGAAAACGGTTTTTTGGCTTCTGAGACTTCTTAGGAAGTATGGGTGGAACTAAAAGAGCACCTTGCTTTAAAGCAACAGTGGGATATCTCCTAAAAATTAAACAGCAATATAAAATTAAGTTAAACATATACATATGTACAGGGTGATCCCCTATAATGTCGCCCCCTTTAACTTTTTTATTTTAAGTGTACACATATAAAGCGTATAAAGAAAATTGATCAATATACAGGGATCAACCTATATATTTATTTATTTTTCGATTCCTTGTAAAATTCTAAGAATATTTTATATAACATACCATATACCTAAATTCAACCGCTTCTGAAATATTTAAATTATTTTTAAGATAATAATTTGAAATAGTTTGTCTTTCTCTGTCTGAGTTCGCCATTTTTACTTATTTAACAATAGATATTGACATAATGTCACTATAGTAATTTATTTTCAATAAAAATTTTGGAATACTGAGGCTTCTTGATTTCTAACAGTTCAAAAAAAACTTTAATTATAACATTTCGAATGCGAATATTTCAGAAAAGGTTGAGTTTAGGTATATGGATATTAGAGTGGGCCAAAAAAATCAACTTTTTTTTTTTGAAAAGTAGGTATATCGAAAATATGGTTTGGGGCGGCAAAAAAAATTATTGTAAAAGTCCATAATATTAATATTAAGAGGTGTATCATAGCAATTTTAATTTTCCTCATCAAGTTTTTGTCTCAGAACTCCCAAACCATTGAGTTTAACAAAATTTACTTGGAAATATTTTTTAAGAAAATTAAATTCTCTACAAAAAAGATTAAATGAAATTTTTCGTCAGATGAACCATTTCCTTAAAATCATGCCCTAAAGATTGGTATAGTTTTACATTTTGATCTTTTAACTTTGGAATTTTGAAATTCATGTAAAAATCAGTACCCATAAAAAATCCGATGAATATTCTTATGGGAAATCAAATGCTCTACAAAAAAAGTCTTCTAACATTTTTGGCTAAATTGACTCCATCAAAAGTTATTCAAGGTTAAATTTGACAAGAATTTCGTTTTGACTTCAACTTTAACATGAATAACTTTTGATTGAGTGAATTTAGCCAAAAATGTTAAGAGGCTTTTTTTGTAAAGCATTTAATTTCACATAAGAATATTTATCGGTTTTTTTATGGGTACTGATTTTTACATGAATTTCAAAATTCCAAAGTTAAAAGATCAAAATGTAAAACTATACCAATGTTTAGGGCATGATTTTAAGGAAACGGTTCATCTGACGAAAAATTTCATTTAACCTTTTTTGTAGAGACATTAATTTTCTTAAAAAAATATTTTTAAGTAAATTTTGTTAAACTCAATGGTTTGGGAGTTCTGAGACAAAAACTTGATGAGGGAAAAAAATTAAAATTGCGATGATAGACCTCTTAATATTAATATTATGGACTCAAACTTTCACAATAACTTTTTTTGTCGCCCCAAACTATATTTTCGATATTGTTCAAAAAAAAAATAATTGATTTTTTTGGCCCAGTCTAATGGATATGAATAGTGTTGTAAAAAAAAACGTTTTTTTTTCAGTTGAAAAAAAACACGTGAAAAAAAACATGTTTTTTTTTCACTGAAAAAAAACAAAAGTTGTTTTTTTTTCATCCCACCCACGTATGGTAAAAGAGCGCCTCGCTGTCGGCAATGCTGACTCAGCATATCGTATAGTCTATACGGTATTATAATACAAGAGTTAAGACCTGCGGCTTTATAGATTGATGCATAGTTGGTAGAAATGCCGAAAAGAGAAGGCTCAGGGCGAAAGCCAACAACGTTAAACAATTTGTTTAAGAATATTACTAATGGTAAGTAAGAAACTATAATTAGTATTTAATATTCTTCTAGTGACAGGATGTGCCAAAAATTCTTTCCTCAGCAGTGACATTTCGAAAATCCTGTCACTTAATATAATTTGAGTATTTTACCTTTTTTTTGAAAAAAAAACATTTTTTTTTTAAAAAAAACAAGGACCTCTGTTTTTTTTTCTAAAAAAAACATTTTTTTTTTGAAAAAAAACAAGACTGTTTTTTTCAGTGACAACACTAGATATGAATTATGCTAAGAATTTTACAAGGAATCGAAAACTAAATTCATATATATATATATATATATATACATATATAGGGTGATCCTGGATCCTGGATCACTGATCCATTGAAAAAAAAAATAAACTTTTTGTTTTTCCTTGTATATTAATCAATTTTCCATTTTTTTATACATGGAAAAAAAGTATTTTTTAGTACCTACATAACCACACTTTTAAAGTTTTTGGGAAACTTAAAATAAAAAAGTTAAAGGGGGGCGACATTATAGGGTGATCCATTGAAAAAAAAAAAACTTTTTGTTTTTCCTTGTATATTAATCAATTTTCCATTTTTTTTATACATGGAAAAAAAGTATTTTTTTAGTACTTACATAACCACACTTTTAAAGTTTTTGGGAAACTTAAAATAAAAAAGTTAAAGGGGGGCGACATTATAGGGGATCACCAAGTACATAAATGTGCCATTTTACATATTTAATATAAAGTGAGTACCTAAACTGAGATCTGCTGCTATCAATAAGCTTAAAGATAATTGTCTTAAAATAATATTTTTTTAGATATCACACTGTTTTTGCTTCTTTATTTACTAACATCAACTTTATAACTTTATAAGCAAGCAAGAAGGCTTATATCATTATATCCCTGCCAAAAGTCACTTACTAACATTTTATTATTGAGCTTCAAGATAAAATAAATAAGCAAATAAATATATCTATTACTGTAATAGTATTACACCAGTTTATAAATTATAGTGATTTTTAACCATGCAAAAACAACCTTTTTTATTATTCTATCCATCTACACCTTTTCCAGTTGATATTCAGAAAGTAGGAATTGTAATTCAGTTATTCCAATTAATTTTAAGAGAGTAGCATATGTAATTCAGATAACACAATTGATTTTAAGAAAGTAGCAATTGTAATTCAGATATCACAATTGATTTTCAGAAACTTGCAATTGTAATTCAGAAAGTAGCAATTGTTTTTCAGATTAAATCATATGTAATTTAGCCGCAGCAATTGTTTCAGGAACAGTGGGTTGCATACAGTAAATCGATGATAAATGAAAGTACACGTTATATTTATTTACTAAGTAAATGAAATTTATATAAAGTACAAATGAACAAAATTCGGTCCTTACTTGCAATAAGTTGACAATTATGACAAATATACCTACTTAAATGGTGATAAATTTGTTTATTATTGTCAATTCCATGGAAACAAAGCAATATACAAAGAAATACCATTGAGTAAAGTCTTCTTTACTCAATGGAAATACATTAAATTAAGATTTTAGAAAATAAGTTAAATGAAGTATGAAAATGTTATCATTTGTTAATTTCTGAATTTTAATTAACATATTCTGAATTACAATTGTTACTGTCTGAATACTATTTGTAATTTCTGAATATCAATTGCTACTGTCTGAATATCATTTGCAATATCTGAATTACATCAGCTACTTTCTGAATATCATTTGAAATATCTGAATTACATTTGCTATTTTCTGAATTTCATTTGCAATATCTGAAAATCAATTGCTGCTTTCTGAATATCAATTGCTACTTTCTGAATATCAACTGGAAAAGGTGTAGTGGCTTTTAAATATTAAAGATATGGTAAATTTGTATAGTTAAGTACAATTTGGTAACATTTTTAAAAAATGTCACTTAGTGACTTTTGACAGGAATATGATATAAACTTTTTTTTTAACACTGGGAAAATAGACAAATTTTAAAAAACCTTGGACAGAAAATACTTACTGCTTTACCATACTCATCATCTAAAACCTTATTAATTTTCTGGTGGTTGGCTTCCATTTTCTTTATTCTCTCGGCCCAATATTGATCATTTTTCTTTAAACTTTCAACATTTTCTTGTCGTAATTGAATTGTGGTAATACTAGGTTCATGTAAGTATAATGGAGCAGGTGCTGCTTGTGGTACATTTCCCCATGTGTTTTGTGCAGGTGCAGGTTGTTCTCTTGCACCTTAAATGTGGTTAAGTTTATTTTATTTTTGTGTAAGTTATTGTAAATTTTATTTTACTGAATTACCAACATGTATATAAAAATAATATAGGTAAAAATATTTAGAATAATCAGTTTAGTATTTTAACTCTGACAAGTACTTTTCATAATTATTAATAAATTGGAGGAGTTTAAGATGTCAAATAAGTATAAAAACATAAAATATTATGTAACCTCTAAAAAAAACCAAAAACCAAAATACTAAAGTTTAGGTTATTAAATTTAAATTACTAGTACAGATTTAATGGTAAAACGGTTTTAATATGCAACTAATAGTGTTCTAATCGAAATATTTAGCCAAAATGTAAAAAAATAAGGTTAGAATACTTACTTTGACCACCTTTAATTCTACCAACAACATCTTCAGACACTCTTATCACATTAGTGGGATCATCATTTTCAACAGATAATTTTCTAGTTTTGCTCGGATTTCCTCCCATTATTCTTAGTTTTAAAGGATTTTCAAAATTTAATTTATAAATTCTATGCTCACTTGGCCATTATTACTATTTGACAGGTTTAATAGATGGCGCTATATATGCTAACCGCAAATTACTGTGGTCTGTATTACGAAACTTGTTTACAGATAACTTCTTTTTGTATTATGTATTTTAATTTCCTATTGTGCGATGAGGCCAGTATACCTAAAGTTCACATACTTCCACACAGAAAAAGTATATCCACACAAGTATGTGCTAAAGTTCATTTTTTTTATCTGTACTGCGGCAACGATACAAATTTAGGGTTTTGGTTGGTAAATAAAGAACCAAAATTGGTCGCATTGATTAAAACAAACTAAGCTAGTTATAAATCTAATTGTGGTTATGTAAGTATAAATTATTGTATATTACATTCCCACAACGTGACGAAACCGTGACGATGTGTGTCCAATAGGACACAAATCGTCAAGGTTTCGTCAGTGAGGGTCATCTATGGACCAGACTATGGTGCTACCTGGGTTGTGCAGTTGTCAAGTTGAGTTGTCGAAATTCGTAGTTAAAAATGCAATTAATTTGGCTTTGGTGGTGCTTGGATGAGTAAAAATCATATAAAAAAAGTACTTAAATATAGGTTGCTTTACGGCCCAGAAGAGAAAGTATTCCTTGCGGATAATAATCTTCGTTTTGAAAAGAATTTATATAAAAAAATTAAAACTTTTTGTGAACGTAAATGTTGTCCAATTGTGAATAGGTATTTTGTTAAAGCCAATAAGAATTATAATGTATACCCTGCCGAAAATGTCCCTTTAAGAACAATAGAAACCAATAGAAATTTATGTTTTAATGTAGGTATGGGTTTGAATCTGGTGTATTGGTATCAATTGGAAATAGAATTGACTTTAATTGGTTTGAATGGGTAATTCCTATTTAGCCTTTAAAACCGATTGGTATCATGTAAGATAAAACTCGGTACTAATTAGTACCGATGCATCGGCATGTCTAATAACTAATTAATCTTAAGATATCGGTATACCCAAAATCCACCAGCTGCCACTGCTCAATATGTGTATTAATACACATGTGTATTAATACCGGGTGACATTCACAATATCGAAATTCATTATATCGAATTCAAAATATCGAACACTTTTTATCGAAAATCAAAATATCGAAAATACAAAATGTCGAAGATCAAAATATCGAAAATTCAAAATGTCGAAAATGATAATATCGAAAATTAAAATGTCGATTTGAAAATGTCGAATAATTAAAGGTAGTGTCTCCCCGACCGTCGGACGGACGTAGAAAAGTGTGTGCTCGACCGTCGGACGGACGTAGAAATGTGTGTGCTCAACCGTCGCATATTTTAACCTCATTTTCAACTAGAGGCTAAATGTAGCAAAGTATTCCTCAAGGTTATGACGAATAGCTGTCATTTTGGTTATGCAGGTACACTGCATTGTGCCATACCAAACTAACCCAAACTTAACAACCCAACCCAACCGACCCCGCCCCATTGGGCCCCTCCCGCCCCATTGTCCAATCCAGCCTGCCGTTAGATATATCATACCTCTATTGCTCAATGGGGCGGGAGGGGCCCAATGGGGCGGGGTCGGTTGGGTTGGGTTGTTAAGTTTGGGTTGGTTTGGTATGGCACAATGCAGTGTACCTGCATAACCAAAATGACAGCTATTCGTCATAACCTGTATGACAGCGGTCGAGATTTTATTTTCGATAAATTGAAAATTCGATTAATTAAAATTTCGACATTTTCAAATCGACATTTTAATTTTCGATAATATGATTTTTGACATTTTGTATTTTCGATATTTTGATTTTCGATAAAAAGTGTTCGATATTTTGAATTCGATATAATGAATTTCGATATTGTGAATGTCACCCGTATTAATACACATATTGAGCAGTGGCAGCTGGTGGATTTTGGGTATACCGATATCTTAGTTATTAGACATGGGTTCCACTGCAAACTTATACGAGTTTATAATGATATTGGATAGACACAAGCAGAATATTTTCTAGTAAAAATAACGATCGCGATTATCATAAAACTATGAATGGTGCTATATTTTAATGGAAATTGTAATGGATAATGCTCTTTACCATTCGGTTCTTTTGGAAAAACCAATTTCAAAATCTGGCGGGTTTCTTCCAAAATGTGGCTTTTTATTTTCTACCCAGATAGCACAAAGAAGTTATAAAAACGTCCTGAGTATATCTTGTATCAGACATTAGTAAGTTCCGAGTACGTCCGAATCAGGTCCTGAACCTTCCCCAGGATGTTCCAGGGACATCCGATGTTACCAAATCGTCGGTCCCCAGAACGTCCTAAGGAAGACATCCTCTGGCCATCCTGAAATGCTTTATTGGGGACCAATGGACAAGCTTTACAGAATTGAAGAGTGGTATTCCCAAAGGCCCAGACAGCAATATGACGTCTTATTTTATTAATTTGTTAAACGGATTTTATTAAAATCATTTTAATAATTTGCTCGTATTCGCTTATTTTAGGAATTGCGATTACTTCGTCTCACTTTTGTTTAAATTTAAGCGTGCTCTTTACCGGCACCGATAGACGGCCTGTTTCCCTCTTTTGAAGCTCGTCAGTATCGATACCCGATCGGGTAGCCGTTTACCTAGGTCTAAGACCGTTTGGTATGAAGCACGCTCTAAATTCTACTTCGCCGCTTCTTATATCAAACACAAGCAGTTACAGCGGTGAGAAGAAAGAATCGCATTAAAATGTCATAAATGTCACGTCTCCATGTTGACGTCTTAAAGAGTTAATAATATGATTTTAGCAAGAAGTAAGAAAAGAGAATACTGTAATTATCTTAAGATATCATATAACTAAAGTCTTATTTATGATACCTACCCTTAGTAGCTTCTAATTTTGATTCCAATAAGAGGTCAGAAAAAAAGATACTTTAAGATGTTAAAAAATTTACTTCTTATTTATGAATTCATCAAGAACTCTTAATCTTGAGCTCCTAAAAATGATTTCTCTAAGATGTCATATTGTGACCACAGTAAGATGTTTTTCAACAGACTTCGTACAGAAATCTTTCTGAATTGGATGCTCTCTGGGGGGTCTAAGTTACAAAAATAAAATTGTGAGTTATCAATGAAAAACAAATATTTTGCACATTTAAATGTTGAAATGTCTGAAACACGTTTGGAATTGCATTTTCCTCTCTCCTGAAACCGTCAAACTCGCCTTCGGCTCGTGTGACAAACTCTTCAATCGAGCGGATATGCTGTATTCCAAACTTGTTACAGAATATACTATTAAGTCATTCTGCATGACACAAACTATTTTTAAATAATAATATATTATTTAACCAACTTGGCACTTAGACCCTTTGGAAATACAATGCTTCAATTTCGTCCTTGGGACGTACCCAGTATATCCGCTATAATTTTCCCAAATAAGTAAGAGACTGGACGTACCCAAAACTTCCGATATAGGTCTAGGACGTTCGGACCTATGTGGGACCCGAAATGGACGTCCTGGGTACCTCTTGTGCTATCTGGGTAGTAAAAATAACGATCGCGATTATCATAAAACTATGAATGGTGCTATATTTTAATGGAAATTGTAATTGATAATGCTCTTTACCATTCGGTTCTTTTGGAAAAACCAATTTCAAAATCTGCGAACAAATCAATTATTTCAGCATTTCTTTTGACCCTAAATTAAAAAAAACGATCTTTGGAAACTGGCGGAACCTTTGATTTTGAAAACAGAAAAAAATATGTAGTCAACGAATTTCTAAAATCTAAAGGTTTTGAAACTCTTCGGCTACCCCGGGGGCCATACCATTGTCAATATAACCCCATTGAAATGGTGTGGGTTTTTGTAAAACATATAATAAAAATATTAATGATTTAAAAATTTTCAGTCCAGATAAAGTAAAAACAGTTTGGCAAGAATCTTTATCAAAATTCACCGTTGAAATGTGGGAAAATGTAGTTAATCACACAGAAAAATTAATTTTGGAAAACTGGAGAAAAAACATGGACAACATGGATTTTCGCAATGTTCCACCATTAATTATATCGTTTGAAAATGAGTCTGATTCTGAGGATTATTTAAATCTTCTCTCTGATGATGACTTATTTTCAAACGATATGATTATAGATGAATGAGTCTTCAGATTAATTTATTTGTGTGATTACCATTATAATAATACGTTAAACCCGCGTTAGTCAAAATTTTCGTTTCGAGTTTTTGGTTTAAGATATACCTATATCGATTTATTTTCATGAAATATGGTAGATTCGCTATGCTATATATTTTCTTAATGATGTTAACATGAAAATAAAAGTTATTTCCGGCGAACGATTTTTATTTATTTTTTAAGTAAAGAAAACTACAAAAGTAAGTATTTAAAAAGAAAATGGATAAATATTCATAAATTGATTAAGTAATAAGTGTTGCATGCAATGATATCAATGAAAAAATAACTACCTATTTGTAAAAAAAATATTTGCTGTTAGGTTCAACCTTTTCGTGAAAAATCTAGTAGTTAATTTTCCTTTTTTTGAAAAAGATAAACAATAATCACGAAACTTTCTCTTATTTAAATTGCAAGTTACTGACCATTAATAGTCCTGGACAATATTATACCCTGCCGAAAATGCCCCATAGAAACCAATTTAAAAGATGCATCGGTTTGTATCAGTGGCGGCTGGTGAATTTTGGGTATACCGATATCTTAGTTATTAGACATGGGACCCACTCCATGGAGTATAAGTTTGCAAACTTATACGAGTTTATAATGACATTGAATAGACAAGATCTGCACAAGCAGAATTTAAATTGAAGTTTGCGAAAAAAGTTAGTATTTTAGCTGGCCGTACCAGCCTCCTGCCCCCCTATTTAAGATAATTCAAATTAAAGTGGTGCAAATCATAATTTACCAAAGTTTACCGACACGTTTTAAAATTTATATAAAAAATCCAAGAATTACAGATTTTAAACCATTTTAAATTTTAAACTTAAATTAATTTTAAAAAAAATTAAATGGTATATAGGTATGTATATATTTTATAAAATCTGTAATTCTTGGA